TCTTCGGATGTTAATCTAAATTCATACATGTTTTGCAGTGTCAGGTTCTCTGTTTTGTAGTCTGTGAGAGGGAAATCACAAATTGAGTGTCATCAAAATACATGGCATGCTGAGAGATTGAACTCGTATTTCGAGCAATATAATTTTCGTGTAAGTCATCGTGAACATTCCGCTTTTCAAACATGACTGGACTATCACTTGTTTCGTTCGTCAAGTGCTTCAGTTCATTTCATTTGAAGCAAAGACTTATTTCAATTGACGCAATGAATGACTCGAAAACTGCTTCCTTCGTTTTTTTCCACTTTCACTTCAGTTCGGGGCTCAGTCGACTTGTCACGACCTGACGACGTAGGTATCAAAATATAGTATCCGCACAATATTGGTTGCCGTGGATTACATGTAATAAAAATATATTTTTTTTAAACGAAAATTAAATTAACGAGACCATTCTGGAGTCCAAGATGGCAGCCATCGAGGTCAGGGAAAGTCTCAAAAACCCTACAATATGGTTATTTTCGGAACGGGGACGACGCGTAGATGCCGAAAATCGATATTCGACGCCATTTTCGAATTCAAGATGGTGGCCATCATGTTTCGTAAAACGTGTCATATACCCTACAATATGGTTATTTCGGAACAGGGTACGCGTAGATGCCGAAAATCGATATCCGACGCTATTTTGGAATCCAATATGGTGGCCATTAGGGTTCAGAAAGTGTCAAATACCCTACAATATGAAAATCGATATCCGATGCCATTTTGGAATCCAATATGGCGGTCATCGGGTTTCACAAAAGTGTCAAATACCCTAAGATCTGGGTATTTTCGGAACGAGAACGACGCGTAGATGCTGAAAATCGATATTCGATGCCATTTGTAAGCTGTTTGATACTTCTGCTGAAATCGGAAGCCTCCATTTTAAATTTCAAGCTGGCGTCGGACATCGATTTCTGGCTTCTAGATGTCAGCCAGATTAAAAAAAAACCCACAATGATCGGTATTAGACAGTATTTCACAGTTTTTCTGAGCCAAAACCGCAATCTTGGATTTAAAGACGGCGTGACATCAATTTTCGGCATCTACGTCTCATCCTCATTCTGAAAATAATCATATTTTAGGATATTTAACACTTTTCCGCAAATCGGAAGCCGCCGTCTTGCATTACAAAATGGCGTCGGATGTCGATTTCCGGCTTCTAGATTTCTGATTCTAAAAAAAACCGTTTGAATGAGTATTTGATTGAATTTACAACTTTTTGTCAAACCGGAAGCCGCCATAATGGATTTAAAAATGGCGTCGGATATTAATTTCAAATCTCCAGACGTTACCCCGATTCCAAAAATACCCATATTAATGGGACGGCATCAGCATTTCCCATGTTTTCTGAAATAGGAAGCCGCCATATTGAATTTTAAAATGGCGTCGGATACCGATTTCCGGCCTCTAGACGCCATTCCCATTCCAAAAAATACCTATATTGATGGGTATTTGACAGTGTTTCCCACTTAATCTGAAATCGGTTATCATGGATTTCTAGATGGCGTCGTATATCAATTTTCGATCTTTAGACTTCATACCGATTACAAAAATACCAATATTGATGTGTATTTGAATGTATTTCCATTTTTTCGTAAATCGGAAGCCACCGTCTTCGATTTCAAAATGGCATCGGATATCGATTTTCATCCTCTAGACATCATCCCAATTCCAAAAATACCTTTATTGATAAGTATTTAACAGCATTTACCACCTTTTTTTTAACTGGAAGCCACCATCTTGGATTTCAAAATGCCGTCGCATATTAATTTTCGGTCTCTAGGCGTCACCCCGATTCAAAAAATACCCATATCGATGGGTAAACAAACCACCCGACAATGATAAATTTAACATCCACGTGCACATATCTATGCGCACACGCTTAAAAGAACCGAGTGAACAATCAACAAAAGTCATAAAAACTGTGCGAATTTGGATCGAACAGTTTCGCTTCAATGCAAAAGTAAGTTCATTTGACATTGAAAGAAGAAATGAACACGAGTCAAGCCAAAACAAACAGCACACGGAACCGAAAAATTACCCAAAATAAAGTTCTTTTCACTCATCTCCCATGTTCTGTTCAATAAGCTAATTTTCTGTAAACCGCTTATAGTAGTTTGCATTTGACTACGGAAAAAATAATTATTTACTCGTGAGTATTTTCTACCCAAAATTAAGTTCAATTTACTCAAATTTGAGAATATCTAAAAAACTCACTAGTAGCTTATTGGACGATAGTCATGAGAAAGTCGAATCTCTCGTTCCGTTTTTGACAACAACAAAAAGTGAGAGTGGGATGCAAAACTCAAAATTACCCAAAATTAAGTAAAAAGAACTTAAAATAAGGGTATTTTTTTTTCTTCTCTGTGCATAAAAACTGATCGAAAGTGGTTCTGTTGATGTTGACGGCAGCGTTGCCAGATTGTTTTAAAGTTTATCGATATCAAAGTTTAAAAAAAAATCTGTATTCATCGGTATTTAATATTTTAATTTATTTTATATCTGAGCTGTTTTTGAAAGCGAAAATTTTAACTTTTGGACTGCTTCTGAAGGAAAATCTAGATAAAGAAGAAAGAAGTTCTTCGGGAAGAAATTTGATGAAACTTCTAAGAAAAGCTGGAGAAACATCCGGAAACTACCAGGACAAGAATTGAGAAACTTCTAGTGAATATTCAAAGAAACCATAAACAAAATCCAAAGGAAGCCATAAAAGTTTCGGAAAATGGGAGTAAATTCCAGAAGTAGCCAGTTCTAGGGGAAACCAGAAGAAGCTCGGAAACACCTTCCAATAAAAGTCGAAAACCTATGGCTTATGGACACACTTCCAGAAGAAGACGGAAGAAACGTCCTGAAGACGCTGGCAGACACTTCCTAAGGTAGATTGCAAGAAACTTCTGGAGAAATTCGGAAGCCAGAGCGCTTAAAGAACTGTCGAAGGAAACAAGGACATAATTCCGGAAGAAAGAGATTTCTGGGGGATGTTCTAATGATCCAGCAAAGACCCCGCAATGCCCCTGAAGTTTTCGGAACATATATGAAATGCACTTAGGAATATTCCATAATTTCACGCAATTCCTTAAAAGTTCTTGTAATTTTCTTGAAGTTAATGGGGCTGTTTTAGAGTTCTCTGATCATCCTCCTAGTACATACTCGGATTATAATGAGGCTACCTGAATATCTATAATCATCTTTGAAGGTATCTGGACTTTCTTGAAGATTACGATTTTTTTAAGTGCTCTCACAATTCTCTTGAATTTATTGTATCATTAGCATTGAAGATCTCTGATCTTCTCAATTTTTAAAATTTTAGTTCTCGGCACTGTCATTAAAAAGCACGGAATTTCCCATAAAATGTTCTCACAATGTTCTAATGGTCATGTCACTTCCCTTACGTTTCCTAAATTTGTCGAATATTGGCTGAGTTTCTCGGAAATCCTTTAAAATATCAGCATTTTCTTGAAATTATTTGATCTATCCTGATGTTCACGGAGCTTCCCTGTATACAATTTCAAAAATCGGTATTCTGAGGAATCTTATCTGAATATCGGTATCTAGTTCGAAAATCGGTATAAATACCGATAAATCGGTATATCTGGCAACGCTGGTTGACGGGGATCTGCTCGAAGAGAAAACAGAATGACTTTCAATTGAAAGGGATGGTTGACAGCTTCATCGTCGCTTGACGATTTTCGATTGAAAGTGACTGCTCGTGATAAAGAATTTTCTCTCTCAAATTTGATTTTTTTGGTCCTCTGGGGACTATTAGTAAAGCGCTTAAAAATGTATTGCAAAATTCCTTTTTTATTTAATTGTTTCTTGTTTAACAATAACTTCCAGGACAAAAGTGAACGACAAAGTCCATGAATGATTTCTTTAGGTTCTCGTCAACTTTTTTTGACCTGAATACATATGCATCAAAAGCGTATTATTCCCAGTTCTCCAAATTTCTTTACGGTGATTTTTATAATTCAGCGCCATATGTGTAACAAAAGCCTTGACTTAACGGTTCATCACCGGATGGAAATATTTACAAATTCCCAAGAATTTCCGGGAAGTGCCACCAACTGTTTCCCGATTACTGGGTAGCCAAAAATGGCCAGAATATGGAAACACCAGCCAGGATCCCAAGATAAAGCATATTTAACAAGTTCACTTGCACACTAGCGCCGCGTACTGAGATAATTCAGAACTTCTGTCCATCAATCAAAAGGCGTTGACTTATTAAGCAACTTTGCAGAAGACAGTAAGCTTATATATGGCCAGGATCACCATCCCAACATATCACGTGTTCCAGTTACGCGGATTTGATTTACAATGTCCTACTTTAACGCGCTATTTAGGGTATTACAGTAAACACAAATTATGTTATTTTGGTTAAAACCGTTTCCTCGTGGAATACACGTTGTTTTCGATAGGTGACTTCAATTGTAACGGAAAGTCCACATGTGTTGTACAAAGTGTCACAGCGTCAGTGCTTGAGTGTTAAGGTGCAATTTACTTTGGTATATTTTCGAATATTCAAATCCAGTTTATTTAGGTGCATCAAATCAGATTGCGAAAAGCTGCCGGCATCTTATGTTAAATGGCATGAAGAATGCAATGGCAACAGGTTTTAGCAACAGAAAGCGGTTCGTCCAAAAATTGTGTTTGAAATTTCCTAAAATGCTCAAAAGTATATTGAGCCTTAAAATCCCACCGTACTCTGCAGGCACGGCAATCGGAAGACCATTAAGTCAAGCTCTGTTGAATATGATAACGATTGTTGTAGTTGTGATGCTTCAATGCCACAATCTTGAGTTGATCGCATTTGAAAATCCCCACAAACAAACAAAAACTTGTTTTGTTTAGATTTCACTAAACATCAAAATTCCCGCCTCATCGGATCATTCTTCGATAGACTCGCTTGGAGCACACACATAGTGCACTGCTCGCTGCTTTAAACTCGATTGACTAAGTGTGTCACGATGTTGACGAATTCAAATACCTTGCTCTTGATTTTGCTTCCGCTTTTCTCTCAACTGCACTGTTCATCGGCTGAGAATCAGTTCCATTTTTCGGCTTATAAGGTAAGTTACTGAGAAGTGTCAATAGAACTACATTCATGCTTTGTGTTTCGTTGTTTTGCACAGAAAAACTGGTTCCAAGCAAACGAGTACTGCCATCAGATGGGAATGCGGCTGGCCATCATCGATTCTCCCTTGAAACACGAGGTAGTTGTTCGGGAAGCCAAAGCCACCCAAACTGATCCGCAGGCCTACTTCGGAGGCTGGCTCGGAGCAAGTGATTTGGGTCTAAAGGGTACGTTCATTTGGCACGGCACCGGTGAGCGGGTTAACTTTGCCAAGTGGAAGAGCGGTGAGCCAAACAAAGACGATGAACATTGTGTCGTGCTGCACTACTGGACAGAGGAGGAATTCTTTTGGACCTGGAACGACGGCCACTGCACAACGGAGTTGACGGCCATTTGCGAGAGGATTGAGCTACTTTCCTGCATTCAGCAGTTCAAATGAACGACAGAATCAGTGGGAGACGTATTGTCCACAATGAAATAAATCATATTTGCTTTGACATAGATGATATGATATGATAATCTTTAAAAATTTAGTGATAATTCAATTATACAATCAATCAAGAAAAGCCACATCTCTTGCATTTGTCGATTAACAATTTTACCCCACAGTCAGTGCCCTGTGCAACTTGAAATGACCTTCAGCATGTTGGGTCTCCCAGCAGGCCAAGCTACACTTCCAGGAACAGTGAACAAAACCCCCAAAGACGCCGACGATGACGAGGGCGAGGAACACGTGCGCACGTTCTATTGTGTTTCGCTTGATAAAATATTAAAATCTAATTTAAAATACATTGGTTTCTGCCGACAAGAAGTACCGAGGGCGCTGCTTGCTGCTGCTTTCGTGGACATGGAATTATGTTTGGAGCCACATTTTTCGTTGCTATTCTGATATTGGTTTGGCGCTCCAATGAACGGGGGCGGAACGTTTCGCATAATGAACGTTTAGCATAATGGTCGTTTGGCATGAAGGATATTTCGCATAAATGAAGCTTTATATAATTGCTGTTTACCAAGTAGCCGTTTGGAATAGGGCTGATCGAATAGATATCTCCATCGTGATATAAATACCGCCTTTAATCGGTCATTCAAATTGCCCAAAATTCTATTATCCGAATGCCACCTGATTGAATTCTCTCGAAATTGAATTGATACAAACAAAGGCCTTGTATAAACCCAGCAACTTAGACATAGTTTGAGCAGTCGAACTAATATACTTATTAGCCATATACGGATCATTCGGGGCAAGCAGCAGTTCAGTTTAAGGTGTTTATTTGGAATAGCAATCAATTTCTATGATTTCTATTTGCATCATATTGCGATTTGTTGAAAGTGGTATTTAGATAACAGTTACCAACGGGGTAAATTACTGATATGTGCAGTGTGAACGACACCAGCCTTGTTTTGATTTACTGCGATTCATATTCATAGCTAGATGACGTGGTTTTCAGTTTGTTTGCAACCGCAAGTGAAAATGTGTTTCCCTGGAACGCTGCTGCACTTGCAGCTTTTCTTTGGAATATTTGTACCAATGAACGGTCTTTGGATCACTCCCGAGTGGTTTCTCAATGAAGATTCGGAGATTTGCATCAGCAATGCTGTGCCGGAAGCACTGAAATCGAACAAACTTTTTCAACATTTCGTTTCAAATAACATCCATAAACACCCGATGACGTTCATTCAACCAAATATGGAATCAGCTACGCCACGATTTTGTTCAATAGTACTGGTTACACTTTTGCATTCAGATATGCACAAGATCGGTTATTCCATGAAACACATGATACAGTATCGGCAGAGTCAACGATTTGCAGTTTTTATTTTTGTTGGCCATTCCTTACACGAGCACATGCAAAAAATGTATGTGACCTTTTATAAAATGTTTGCAACCAATTTTAACGTGGTAAACTCCGTGCTATTTGTGACATCTGATACATGGGCTGCTTCCATGTACGGTTTTAACGCGCTCACTGGTGAAGTAGCTGAACTACACAATCAAATTGATGTTCTCAAATTGATGGATCAACACAAATTGAAGAATTTTCACCAGCAATTGTTCAAAGTAGAACAATCGGTACGAGCTCTACAGTTCAGCATTCAGAACAAGTCATTCATCAATCCTTATTTCAACCTGATTAACACCTTCGTTCTGCACGTCAATGCATCCTTAAGCTGGATCAGATCTCCAGACTACATACCTCAATTTGAGTGGATTAAAAAGAACCAAGTCCACCTGGTCTCGCACCTCCCAATGCCTTATGTCCAGGTTGAATCCATTCCCGATCACCATAGATACGGACTGTGTTTGATGGTACCTGAACGTGAGATTAAGCCCTACTTTTACCATCTGATGAAGCCATTCAGTACTCAACTCTGGATCACCTTACTTACAATCAACCTGGCAGCATCGGTCGTGGGCCATTTTCTCGGAAGACCCGCCATATTGTGTCATCTTTACTTCGGAGTATCTCCATCGAACAACGTCAACCGAATCGAACGTCTTATGTTGCTATCCCTGTTCATACTCAAATTCATACTCTGTGAACTCTACTCAGCGGAGCTTCTCACATTTGTCTTAAGCACTCGGTATGAACCCCAACTGCGTACATTGGAGGAGGTCAATCAACTTAGCATTCCAGTGTCCTTGCCAGACATCGTACCTTTTCGTATCTTCAAAAACCTCTTCGGCAGAAATCAATTGATCATCCGTCCAAAGGCGCAACTGACCAAGATTCACGCGAACGAAAGCTACCTGTTACCGTGCGATTTCGTTGAGTCAGTCGTCAACTCGCCAGAGATCATAAAAACATGGCTGGGCGAAGAAGATACCCCATTCTATACTCTACAGGAACGAGTCGCTTCGATTCCGATCTTTCATGTGCTGTTCCACCTGAATCTTTTCGGTGCTCGCTTCAAGGAGGTTCACGATCGAGTGTTTGAAGGTGGCATTTGGAACCATTGGCATGATATGTTGCTCGGGAGTATTGTCCGAGTGGACGAGATCGAGAATAAGGTTCTACGGTTTGAGGATTTGATTTCAATTTGGTGGATTTTGCCGATTGGCGGTGGACTTGGTTGTGGGATGTTTCTGTTGGAGATCGGATGCAGTCATCGGGAAATGCTGTTGAGGGTTTTGAAGGATGCATGGTTAGCTGCGTGTGGTTTTATTTTGATAGCGATTGCAATTGCTGGTAATGTTGGATTCAATGCATTTAAATATTTGAGACATGCAGTCCTGAGACGTTGAGTTAACAATTACTGTGTTGTAGTGTCACTTTGTGGATAGTTAGTTTTTTTTTATTTATAATCACTTTAACACATTTTAGGTCGTTCGTTACTTGTCCCGGCGTGAAATTTGAACTCGTGACCATTGCCGTGAGAGGCATGGATGCTTACCAGTAGGGCCAAGCCCGTCCTCAGTTAGTAAATGTGTGCTATAAATGTAACATTTTGTGAGTGAGTCATTTTGCATTCTAATGTAAAGCCCATATTGATTCACCGGGCAGGTGTTAAGAACCTTTGCTACCCAGGACAATCTCGATTTTGATATTATCTAGATAAATAAATTAGGCTATTAATATCACAGGACAATCTCGATTTGATTATATGTTGAGAAAATTAGTTCCCATGTTTTGTTTTTATTTGCCTTGGTTTCAGTTTCATCCGAGGTTCCTAAAACAAGACCAGTGAGGTCCTGGGCACTTCCAATGACTACCATGGACATAAAGGGTGTCCCACATCAAATTGCATTTTGAAATACGCTGTAGAAAATTACCTAGTTAAACGATCCTTTTCAATCTTTCAGGCAATAAAATATAGCCCAGTAGTAAGCATTTGGCATAGTGATTTCATTCAACTTCAATACCATAACCATACGCTGGCACCTCACGCTTAACTCCATTCATAAGGTTCTGTACAACATCTGGCTGCAGCTTCTTCTGTACGGAAACCCACTTTTTCTTCATGTCTTCCTCAGATTTGACTTCCTTGGGATGCTTCCTTAGTGCCTGCTTCATAATAGCCCAGTATTTTTGAGTGGGCCTTAGTTCCCGGGCGTTGTTGGGGGGGGGGGTATTCATTTCCTTAGGTACGAAAGTGACCCCGTTGTCACATTTGGAGCCTTCTGCACTTTGTACTTATGCAGTCCCTCCCCGTCCTTGGTTCTCTGAACGAAAGACTTGGACAGATTCAACTTTTTGGCCACATCCCTGACCGAAGCGTTGGGATTCCGCTTATCCGCTTTCACGAAACGTTTGTGATCCTGATCACCAATAGAACATCCACCGCAGAGTTTCGTAGTACCGTTTAATCACACGACTCACCGTTGACTGCACGATTTCGAGTTGTTTTCCGATGTCCCGATGAGAGAGTTGAGGCTTCTCCAGGTGCTTGCGCAAAATCAATTCGCGACGTTGCTTTTCGGGTGACGCCATTTTTTCCACTTTCGAAAAACTGACAGCGATAAAAATGCAGTGTAAACAATGCACTCTAAACTACTTCTACCCAAATGTTCAAGAGAAAATACCCCATAGGTAATTTTCTACAACGTTTATTCCATGATGCAATTTTATGTGGGACACTCTTTATAACCTATTCCAAAGTCAATCTAGATTTCTAGATAAACATTTCAATGGGTCCTATATGCATTTATCGATTCCCTTCATCGACTTTCTCTTTCGTTAATCACTCAGCTGAAAAACCTTTCCCTGTTGTATTCGACGTTTTGGATGTTAGATAAGAACACTTTTTATCAATCTATGTGGCGATAATAGCGCGTTATCATAAGAGAAAGTCTTAAAAAATCGATCAATGCAGATACGACCTTTTGAAATATTATCCATCATCATCCATGCTCCTCAACCTCCCTATTTTTCTGGGTTTCCACATTTTTTCGTCATAGGACCAGTTCTGATAGTGATTTTACAAATGAGGATGTACATGTTCTACAAAAAATTATGTTACCTTTGTATGACAAGTTTTGGTTGTATAGCAGTTAACTTATCATAATTCCACAGACAAACAGACATAACACATTGAATATTTCTCAATGTAAAACATCGTCGCAAAAACATTACCGCCATCTGTTGAGTACACTGTGGTGGGTAGTACACTGAACAGATGGCGGTAGTGTGTAAACGTCAAACGCAAGGGAATTGACTATGCGCGCCACAGGTGGCGGTACTACCAACTATGATACTTTTAAATTGTCCGTTAAATGCTTGTTCGATGAACAACTTGCGAGTGTTATGTCTGTTTGTCTGTGATAATTCTATTGCGCATTTTGCACCTTCTTAGACAACTGTGCAGAAATTTTCTTGAATATTTTTGCACACCCAGCGTACACCTATCTCTTACTCACACAAACGTAGCCTAGCTATGTCAAAGAGAAAGATCGGGCAATGCTAATTTTATAGTCTCTTTCATTCCCCTACTGTTACCATTTAACAAAAAGTGT